TCACGTTTCATCGCCCACAAACTTTATTGTAATCTATGAACTTTTTCGTTTTCATGAGATCACCTAAAAATAAACCTCTACCTCCAATCACGACTGCAGTTTTGATTTTTGACTGGTTAGGGATTGAACTTGGTTATTTCGCGGTATATAGCTATATCTCGCTGTAAAGGTAAAGGAATGCCTCCATAATTCTCACAAGTGCTGAGATCCCCTTTCTTTGCTATTTTGAAGAGGTGTCCTTTTTTCGATCTGTTGATACTTGTTCTTCCTCCTTAATCTTTCTGAAAAATCATGGAGTATCTTCAGAGTTACTGTTATGTGTGCTTTCAGTGCTTCAGCAGATATGTTGTCTGGCATAGCTGCATTGCCACTCTAAATTCAGAAATTCTCTAAAGTGCTCTGCCCTTCTATTTCACTGTTCTTGAATGTCGTTCACTGGCTCGCATTCCGTGCTTTTCACTGGTCCTTCTGGTTTACTACATCTTCCTACCACCATCTTCGTTGTATAGCGGAGTTTTAAATATTTCCTTCTCTTGCAGCTTTTTCTGATACCCTCGCTAATATTCTACATATTTGCGCTTATCGGATGTGATGCTCCTTTTTACTTGTCTCTTTGCTTCTGTGTATTCTGCTTATGCCTTTGCTTTCGCTGCTCTTCTTCGGCCGATGTTGAATATTGCCTTCTTGTTACTGTTCTCTAGAAGTTTTTCAAGGCAACCAAAACAGATGCATTCTTTGTATTGTTACTTCTTGTGGCCCAGAACCTCCTGAAATGTTGAAGTGCCTGTTTCTTTGATCGCCATCCTATTTTTAATAATAATAGTTTAATTTCAAATAATACGTTACATGAGACATGAAAGACGAAAATCAAACTGCTAGCATATTTTTTGTCTGAGGTTGTTCAGTTACTTAAATATTTCATAAAATAGATTGACTTCATACAGATGGCTAAAAGTTTCCACATAAAATTATAAATAATGTTTCGTACAGCAATGTTCAATGCGGTAACTGGCGCGGGTTACGAAAGTCACGTTACTAATGGCTGTGAACCAAAGGACGGCAGTTTTCTCCCGACTGAGTATATCGTCAAACGCTCGAAACTTATTGCTGGGGGCTTTCTTTAATTCGTTGATTTTGCCAGTACCAAGAAGAAATGCCGTTAAAAACTTTTGTGATGTTTTTCGTTCTTTCTTCTCTACAGCTTCAATTCCACGTGGCGATCTGTGGCTAGGTTAGCTCCTCTCCTGGTTCTCACGTCATTATTTATCCTTCTGAAATGTTTATTGATGCATACGCGATCGATTTGATTCTTTGTGGTGTGATGCGATGAGAACTATGTGGCTGTGTATGTGTTTATGTGACCAGTTTGTTGAAGTTACACAGGTTTGCAGATCTCTTACCGTTTATGTTCCCTTCTTCCAGTCCATGTCGTCCCACACCGACTTCTCATTAGGTGTTGTGCATACGAATTTCGGCGTTTATTTCTCCCGTCAGATTGTTCAAGTAATTTCTTGAGTATTTCACAATGGTTGACTGCGACCTCCCATTAAATTGATTTTTAACGTCCTAGTTTGTAGACGCGTAGCATTGGAAGGATGCTTTGGCCATCAAGAAATCATGAGATTGGGTAGAATTAGTGCAACTGCTTGTGCGTGTCGTGCATTTCTTTCATTGCCGAACTATAACAGCAGCTCTCCTGAAGCTATTCTTTCTAGTCCAATCTAAGTCCAATGTGTTTCATTGATTTCAAGCGAATTCAGCATGTGTCTTTTGGTTACTACTTCAACTTGAACTACTCTGCCGGTCTCTCACATTATGCAAACACTCTATGCACTTAAACTAGTGGTTGCTCTAGTTATGAGGAGGCGCATTGGTCTCCTAACTGTCGAAGAAACTCGGCTTCCATCACGAGACGTCATGTCTCTCCTATATGAAAACCTTGTAACTACCAGGATAGAGGTTTGAATTATTTTTTCTGGCAAGCGTCTTTTCGGTGGGTTTGTATTATTATGGACGAGGTCACTAACCAGGTGACCTTGCTTTCTCTTTCATCTGGGCTTTGGACCGGCAGTAACCTGAAAGGGACTGCAAGCACAGATTCGTTCGTTAATATCAGGTAGAATGTGTTGAAGTATATGGTGACTGTAGCGGCTTTCCATCTCCGCACTACTCGTTCTTAAGATCCCTGTAGATTCTGTGAATCTAAAGCTTGCGTTAGTACTGACAGTTGCTTACTGCCATTATTTTTATTATTATTGAAGGCAAGTGTATAGCATTCTTTTGTTGGGTCGTCAACCCACCTCTGATTTTATTCTTTTTCCAGTTCCCCCACAGACGTCAGTCTGCATGTTCTCCTAATGCACATGTTACCTTCCGACCAGTTTCCATGTGTAAATCTGCTGAAGATCATAGCTTTGATAGAGAGTATATGACAAGTTGCTTATGGTTTTGACGCCTCAGGCGAAAATAAATCACGAGTTATGGAACGAGCAAGTATAGCTGAATTAAGACGAAAACAGATAATGAAGTAAGAAGATTCAAAGTTCAACAAATCAATGGCAACGACCGATCTATTAAAATATGAGTAGAAAGTTTTAAGAATGTTGGCTTGTCAGGTTGTGGTGAGTTTAATCAACACTTCTGTAAACTGTGAACTGTTGGAAAGTGTGGGAAGCTATGATGATTACAAGGATTTGAATTATTGGATGAACTAATGATCCAAGAAACAACGTAAGTGGATCAAGAACTACTAGATGAGCACGAACGAATGTACTGTATTTAGAATTCGAAATCAAGCATTCAACAACAACAAGAAGTCACGAGTTCACTCAAACACCACAGCAGCTTTATTCTGAAGGTTATCGAGGAAACTGACTCTTTAAGACCTTGTAAAGACCAGTATTAACGTCTCACAAAATATTTTATCGACATATCATTTTATTTTTGCGTTTCCACATTCACGGAATGTGTGATACACGTGATTTGTATACAGCTTGACCCCTTACTATTAGTGCTTGATCACTGTGATACAATTCTATTGGTCAAGAAAAATTCATAGCATTTTTGTGTTTCTTATCAATCATTATCCACAGAAATTCATCTAATATCCAGAAAAAATGATTCTATGTTTTAAATTTTGACAACGAAAGCAATGCTTGCTCTCCATTTTTCTTGTTATTGTTTATGATCAACTAAACAGCTCGCGACTGAAATAAGCATATTAGTAAGAAATTAATATTTAATTCCGTTTTTGTGCTCTAAAATGGACGTCTGCATTGACTTATGGAAAGCTTAGGTATCAGCCCCCTTTGTCCAATAAACTATGACACCTTTCAGAATACAGTCAGCCAACACTTTTCGACTGTTCTTAACTTTTCAATTTGTTGCTTAATCACACCACAAGCTGATAAATTGACATTCGTAAAATATTTTATCGAATTTTTGTGATGGGTAACTGTCATTAGTTTGTCCTAATTTTAGCATATGTACTTCATTATCTGTTTTGCTTTTGACCCAGTTTTCATCCTTGTTTCAATAAATCAACATACATATTCATTCAGACGTAAAAGAGATTAATTCAGTAGTTAGTTCCATTTTAAGAATCATATTCGCTTCACTCTGTGGTGGCCAATGTCTCACTGGTTTTGTGATTGTCGGTACCGATGCATTCTTAGACTTTGTATGCTGCTGATTCAGACAACCGTTACTAAATAGCGTCTCACGGTCTTTAAATCAAAAGATGAATACGAAGTGTTGATTACGTCTATTCGGCACAACACAATTAGACCACCAGACCACGGGCACACAGATAAAATCAATATGCCGGTGACGAAGGGCAAGCAAGCGAACTGGCGAATGAATGAATTAGACCAAAATATACATATATATATATATATATATATATATACATTGGAAAATGAATGGGTCATTGAAATATTTGAGGTTAACATTAAGGCAGATAGAATGAATATGCGCGTGGGTGGTAAGCAAGTTCAGTCGTACCAGCTACCAAAAACATGACAATAATAAGAGCCAGTGGTACTTGTAAGTTATCACTGTACAAATTACTTGGTTTAATAAGTCAATTAAAAGGCTTAACCAAATTAAATATGAACAAGCTCAATTGTATGTAGAGGCACTACAACTCCATAACATGGAAGTAGCCAATAATCCTTACACTTTTTGGCCATCACTTATGGGCTCAGATAATCCTTTTAAGACACTAAACCAAACTACAATCGTGCCTGAATACTCTGGTTTCTATTTAATTTACGCGGTTATACTAATAGCCACGTTTAAACTGAACAATATTTAGCATCTGCCATTTTGCTGGGTAGCCAAGTGCTTCAATTAGTAACCTTTATTCATCACAGAAATACCGAATGCTGTGGCAAATGTAATTAAGTTATTGACACAAACTAATTGATACATCGGTCGTCTGAATTTTTAAAAAAATGTAAATTTTTCATAAATTAAAAGATTCCAAACCAGATTCATAAAATTAGGGAGAAAAAAAAGAACAACAAACTGAAACAGCGACGATTTTCCAGATTAAAACTGCTAATACAGAAATATTCAATTCAATAATTATTTTTTCAAATACGCAACCTCTATTTTTATTAAACACGAATTACTATCAGAGAATTGTTAATTGTACAAAATTAGTTGCGATTAAAGTGACACAAAGAATTATCTTACCAAAAGAACTAGCACTGAGTTTGACGATAAATTATGCAAAAACATATGAACCAGCTACTGGAAAGTAAAGTAGAAACGCCGAAAAAGAACGAAAAGTAATAAAGACAATTAATCATATGTATCATACATAATACTTCGAGAGGAAAAAAACGTCCATTGAGAGACGCACTGTATATAAATGAAAATATTAGGATAGGTTATTTTTATGAAAGTGAAAAGTATTTCGAAAACATAAGCATATCCAATGGTTGATTGGTAGACAATGTTATTTCTTCAATATTTTAAACAGCGTTGTATATCTCTTATGGTGGAACAACTTTAGCTCCTGGAATCTTGGAAATAGTCTAGTAAGAATAAAACAAACATGTTATTTCACATAGTGGAATGTAACAATAAAAACCTATCAACAAACAAATCATTCAGTAAAGGAACACCAAAATATAAGTAGTCTTTAGGAAAGTACAACCAATCAACCTGCTGGTCTCAGAGTTAGTTATATACACTAAGAAATAAATGTGATCAAACTTATATGTGTCATAAAACTAGTATAATGAATGTTCTTCAAAAGTACTACTTAAGAACGGAGGTGCAGTGTGAAACCGTGATGATCTAACAAATTCACTTTCATAATGAAAAGCGAAAAACAAGCAGGAGTAACGACTATTTCGTTCGCTAAACGCTATTAAAATATCTCTATCTGTATTTGATATCTGTGATGCAGATGACTTGATGGTACCTCGAAAAACTTCGAAACATCTGTTAATTGTTTGAATAGTCCACAATCAAATGTCATTTAAATCCTTCGCCGACGAAAAGTTAGATATCGATATGTATAAAGCACCAGAAAAGAGTGTGCATATGAATTTATCAGAAATGTATTGACATCACACAGCAACTAAAATCCATTCTTTCGAAATCACGCCAAACTGATATGCAAAGGAAGTAGTTTGAGAATACAAACTAATGTAAAATTTGATAATAATTGCACAAGTCAGTTTGAGTTTAAACTTAGTTAATTTAACTAACCAACATTTTGTATCATGTCTAAGATCCTTAAAATAGGGTGTGTAAAATGCAGTAATTTTGTTCGATTCGGACCACCAGTGTTTGGTTCTGATTAGAACACTTTAATCATGAGGCCAAATATTTTAAAACTCACTAGAATCAAAACATAACTCTAAGTCAAAACTACTTCAGACCGAAATGTCTACATTATACCAAAACTCATCATTTAACTAGGAAGCATTTTTCAAATTGTATATTGCTGATTCATGAAACTTAACAAACTGATAGGTAATCTCATGAGAGATGTCAAAAACACGTGATTACTTGCTTTTCAAGCCAAAGATTCCTAATTATTCAATTTGTAGTTTAACAGTCTACAACGATACTGTTAATCTGTATGTCCCATTAAATTACTAAAGATACAGACAAAATTTGAATGGGTCGCGATTAACGACAAAAATAACTGGGATAATTTTAGGAGGAGGGTTATTCTCAGATTAAAATTTGCGTAATGTAGGTGAGATACCTACCTGATGGTCATATGATTGAATACAAGATGAAAAGTAAATTTTAAGACAGATCAGATCGAATATGTTTACCCATGCATTCATGTTGATTACATTTCAGCTGATACTAATCAACAACGGAATTCGAAAACAACATAACAGAAATTTCCTTACTAAAAGCAAACTATCTAGAACATTACTGTCTACTTAGGTATAAAGTATGTTCATCCATATGCAAAAAACTAAGATGAATTTCATTATAATGTGTTCACCATAACGACAATAGTTACATATAAATTCAGTATTAATAATCATTGGCACGCCAAACCACATACTGTTATTGTTGTTTGAGTAACGCGTATGCCATCCTAGATGCGCAAAAGTAATCTGTGAATGTAAATCATTTGAACACTTATTGATATCCTAAACAATGCCGATAAATTTGGAAAATAGTGGTTAAGGAAGTCTTGACTCTCTAAGTTAGAATAGTTAAACTTTGATGATATGAAGAAGTCCAGCTAAATGAAGTAGTTGAATATAATGTCTCTAAAAAATGTTCGAGTAATAAAATATTAGTGATAACTATGAATACCTGCCGATATTTTTCTATAAACCTTCTGAGTATACTCAATAGAATTACATTTAAAACAAATGCAAACCAGAACTTTTAAAATAGCAACAAGACTAAAAGAACAAAAATCTAACCTGACTGAGATCAACGTTTGTTAGAGCTCGAATAGCATGAGGAACAGTTCCTACTAATGTAGTAAAATCTTTACCCAAATTGGTAAGACATTGTAAATTAGCTGCATCACCAGTAGACCCATTCATAATGACAATTTCTTTAGTTTTGCTCAGTGGAGCAGCAACTTCAGCAGCTATTTGCGGTAGTGTATCCAATATGAGGTTTAGAATAGCAGCATCACCGTATTTGCTATAAGCTTCAGCTCTCAAACGCATTCTCTCTGCTTCTGCTCGTCCAACAGCTTCCATGGCTTCAGCTTTCGCAATACCTTTAAGACGAATACCATCGGCTTCAGCTTGAGCTAAAAGGATTTTCTGTGATCTGGAACATTATTTAATTGAAAAATAAACAGTCAACATTTCGGAAATAAAAGCACTTAGTGCATTAAAGATTACAGGTAAATTTAAAAATCACTTTTTTAATTCCTCATACTTTGATAAAGTACAAGAATGAAAAGTACTCATTGAATTAAAAAAATTACAAATTAAACGTACTGACTGGAATTAGTACTGCTTGATTCCTTTCTCATAACTAACAATAAAGCTCATTATTCCTATTAGTAACTGAACAACCATTCGTTTTCATTATAACGAATAAAATATAAGAGGAAATCAACGACCCGTCAAATTTAATGCTTGGAATATCCCAAAGTAATGAAAGTAACAAGATAGAAGACAATCTGAACAGAAGATTATTTATCAGAAAATTTACATCTTAAATGTGTAGGGTCAGCACATTTGGTATGAAAGCCCAACCACCGACTGCCTTGACAAGCGATCTTTTGTGGTGTAGGGGTGGTGGGCTGGAAGAAAACTAGGGGCAGCCTAACCAAAACATGGCACGAATCGAAAAAGTCACTGACAGTTGGATTAAGCCATGTTGGTAAGTGTAGACTACTTGTTTGAGGTCCGCGAGATGATTTTAATCGATGGTTAGAGACTTTGAATGACATGGCTCAAAATCGTTTGCAATAGCGCAGGTGCATCCACTCGTTGTGTTCTCTAAAATTTTAATTTTCTGAATTCGAACAAAATCTCAAGAACGCCGAGATTCACCACAAAAAAGTAGTTCATACTTTATTGTCTCAAAATGTTCGCTAATAAGCACATTTTATCTAGTGCAATAACATAACTCATACTATAACAACCCTTAGCTTTATCAACCATCAAAATACCAAACTGTTTGGACATATTTTTATTAACCTCAAGCATCAATGTAAAGTTTAACTAACTAGCACAATATGTTCATAAAAAAAATACTACAATAATCACTAATTGTTGAATTGGAGGCTCTTGAAAAAGTGACAAAAATAAAAATCAAACTATCAAATAAATATATCGAGTATTTCATACATGATTTTAAATTCTCATTTTTTACTTCTTCACTAGTCTTTGGAATCCTTATTTCTACTTTTTCCTCAATACTTCAGTCCACATTTCTTGAGCAGATGCAATATATATATATCACGAAGCATATGTACTTATGAAGAACGAACAATGCTATCGAAGATGATTAGATTGTGAGGCGACAGTTTTAATTTTGTGGTTGAACATATTGAATTCTTTTAATTACTCAGTCGAATGAATTTCGAAATTCGTAGTACATTAAAAGCGGTTATCACGAAGAGAAAGCCGAATAGTTAAAATCGTTAAACAACTTCAATTTCATTCAGCACTTTTATGAAACGAATGTTTTAAAAATCAATATTGCTTGTACTTTCATTTAGTTTAATGAATATTTTAAAATATAACAACTAAGTTCATATAGTGACGTGACTAATTTACGAGTATGACACAAATAATAAGTTATGCAATTCATTCAAACACAGCATACCTATAACCCTCAGCTATTTGTTGTAATCTATAAGCTTCTGCTTCGGCTGGACGACGCACAGTAGCATCCATATTTTTTTCAGTACATAATATGCCTTTTTCTTCAATTTCAATTTGCTTACGACGTTCAACAATATTAATGTTCACTTCTTCTGTTCGAATTTTTTGTCTCTCTTTAGCAGCCTAACAATTAACAGCAACAAAATGAATAATTTCAATCAGTATTATAAATACAAAACAATTATGGCAAGACGATCTAGGTAATAGTGTGGCAATTGATATACAGTAAAAAAATCATTTTTTGACAATCGAGTAACTTGTGGCGTTCGAATTTCGTTATCTTCGAAATTCAGTATATCTCTGTCTTCATGATCGCTACTAAAGAACACGAATCGTTGCCACAATTTCTTTAATATTCAAAATATTTTATGATTGGTACAAATATCGGATTTAATTTTAAATATATATAGTTGATAGCGTCATCGAATTATTTACACAGGTAATCGATAAAGCTAGTCAAATAACTATATGTGTAGGTGGTAAGTAATGCCCAAGCGTACATGCGCATACAAGCTCAACAATGATAAAAGTACAAAATATATGTGAGGTGCTACAATGGCTCACTCCCAGCAAACAAGGATAAAAAAAGTGTCTGTGTTTGCGAAAAAAATTATTCGAAAATATCAAAATTTTGCGAACGATAATGTTATCTCGTTTGTGTAAGTTTGAGTTCGTGTGCGTTCGTGATCTTGAATAATAACGGAAGATCAGAAATCGAAATACACAAAAATTTTCGACATACAAATGTGAAGCGAAGAAAAAATTATTTTCGAAATGGCTAAAAAAGTTATCGATTCAAAATCGTAGCTATATATCTTTCCGGCCATCTGACTCTTTGTCCATATCTATTCGTCCGTGGACTTTTTTCGTTTTCCTGCGTTGCTTTCGCTGATGGTTGTAACTCGCATTGCGGTGATTCGATGGCTTTCGAAGGATTTGTACTTATCAGCTGTTTCTCACTTTCAATAAAAGTTGGTTTGACTCGATCTACGCTAACTACATCCGTTTTTCTAGCTTTATCAACCTTGATAGTTTTATCGTTTCTTCTAATTACTTTAAATGGACCATTGTAGGTCGCTTGTAAGGGATGTTGTACATTATCTCTTCTGATAAATACATGGGTACTGTCGTTCAGTTGTTTCGGAATATATACCCGATGTTAATTTTTCTTCGGAAGCGTTATTCTAAGATCACTCATGTGTTCTTTTAGGCGATGTAAGTAGTTGGCTATATCAGTTGGAATACTTACTTGAGGTGGGAAACTCCCCTGGTGGACGTAGAGTAGTTCCATAAAGTAATTCTACAGGGTAATATCCAATATCTTGTTTAAATGTCGGTCTTAAACTCAACATGACTAATAGAAGCTTGCTGACCCAATCATTATTGCTGATAATAACTGTGAGAGATGCTTTTAGTTATCGGTGTATTCTCTCTACCATACCATTCACCATCGGATGGTAAGACGTTGTGTGTATACGTTTAATGCCGAGAAGTTCTATAAGTTGTTGGAAGAGGAGACTTTCGAATTGGGCTCGTCTATCGGTTGTACTATTAGCAGGCACTCCATAATATGAGATCCAATGTTCGACTAAGGTTTTAGCTATGGTTTCTGCTGAAATATCTTTTATTGGCACTGCTACAGGTCATCGCGTGAATCTGTTGATACAAGTAAAAATATAACTGAAGCCATTTGAAATTGGCAGTGGTCCCACAATATCGATATGTATACGCTCGAATCGGTTGTCTGGATGACGGAAAGGACCTACTGCGGAACTTGTGTTACGATCAACTTTAACTTTCTGGCATTTTATGCATGTCTTCGTCCGGTTACGAACATCTCGGTTCATAAGTGACCATACAAAACGTTCGCTGATCAGACTGATCGTGACATCATTTCCAGGATGTGATATATTATGCATAGTTTCGAAAACTTTTCTTCTAAACGGCTTTGGAATAAACGGTCGTGGTCGGCCTGTAGAAATATCACACATTAGGTTTACCTTACCGAATGGAGTTTCTCGGAGTACTAAAGAAGTTGTCCTGGATGATCTTAGCCTGTCGTGCTTGTCGTGCTTGGCGTTTAATGCTTTCGTGAGTGGTTGGGGATCTGTGTACACTGTAAAAATGGTACCCCCGAGCATATGTCGAAAATGCTTTATCGCCAAATAAATTGCTAGCAGTTCTCTTCCGAACGTACTGTATCTCGTTTGCGTGGGACTTCATTCTTTTCTAAGAGATTAAATTGGTTCCCATGTGACGTTTACAAAATGCTGTAACACGGCTCCAAAAGCGATGTTCGACGCGTCAGTCATGACGGCTAATGGAGCTTCGTTTTTTCATCGTACCAACATTATCTTCTCATTCAACACGCGTTTAGCGTTCTTGAATGCCTGTATGGCGTCCACTGACAAGTGAAATGTTCGGGCACTTCCTCGCAAAGCGTCAGTTCGGGAATGAATCGTCTATAGCAGTTAGTTAATTAGCCCGAGGAATCGGCGTTTCGGGCAACGGATAATCACGAATAGCTGCAAATTCTGATGGAACTGGTGTGATACCTTGAGAATTTATTATGTCGTAGAAATTGTAGTGACTTCTTTCCAAATTCACCCTTCTTTACGTTGATGGCGATACCGTGTTCTTGTAGCTTATTGAACAACTGTCTTAGTTGTTGTAGATATTCTACCAGTGTAGCACTAGCTACAAGTATGTCATCAATGTACAAATATACGCCTGACAAACCTCTAACTACCTGGTCGATCAATCTTTGGAAGGTTTGAGCTGCGTTAGTTAATCCGAACGGCATTCGCAAAAATTCGAATAATCCGAATGGAGTGATCACGGCCGTTTTCGGTATATCGTCCTGCGCCACGGGAAAATGATAACAAGGCCAATTTTCGAAAATATAATGGCACCTTTCATGTTGTTAGTAATGTCGTGGATATGTGGCACTGGATATCTATCAGCAAGGGTTTGTTTAATATTAAAGTCCAGTAGTGAGCCACTAAAAACTTACTACTTAATAATAGGAAAAGTAATTTGGAAGAATATTTAGCATTCCTGTAGATTACAACTGATAGACCAAAGGCGCGTGAGCACTTCTTAATATTATGATTTAGAAGTTCAATAACTATACACTAGCCAGCTACAACAAAATATCAATGAGTGGTATGTAATTTACGAATCAATCTCAAGCATTCTATACATGATAAGGTTCTGCTTACATTTAATACACTATCTGTTTATCAACTATTTCCATAATCATATTGACTAACTCTAGATTATTCTGTATTTATTGCTAACGAGAAATAAATGATAGTTCTTATGTATAATGGAAATAATAAAAGTACTTATTCGTTCAAAAAAGTGAAATTCTTTAAACAAACATTTATATTAATTAGTTGACCTTAATAGTAAATCAGATGTTGATAGATCAATATTTTGATTAAGTAATGCACAAACTAATTATTATACTCATTTCAAAGGCACCATAGATAAATACTACAACTGACCTAATTTTATCTATCCAAATCATTTTAAAGCTTAGAGAAGTTGTTTTTCGGCTTACGGTTCATTTAAAACATATACAGCAAAGTAAGTTCTTGTAAGTTAAATCAGAAAGAATAATGAAGGAATGGCAACTTCCAAGACCAATTTACGGACTGTTATTATACATTTTCTTACTGCATAACTGTCGATCAACCAGACTGCTAATATATATATGCATATATATATATATATATATATATAATTACAATCTACTGTTTCTGTTTTGTTGCCGGTCTGTTATTTACAGCGGTTCCTATTCACAGATACTTTAAGGCTTGTTCATGCATAATTGTTACTTTTTACGTATAATAGGATGCGGTTCGGTCTGCTTGCATAAACTACAACCGTTTGAACTATAAACGTAGAAGAAGCTGGCTACTGATTTCAGGACTCAAGAGCAAAGAAGAGAGAAGCTAGATTAATCAAAATTCAATAAGAACTGAGTAACGTTTTCAGCTAGTCCAGATACTTAACCGGTGATAGCGATCATCACAAGGCATCTACGTTTACGATGACTGAAACCAACCACCTACAGTACATAATGTTAATGTTGTTACCTTTTGCTTGTGAAGAACAGACTAGAGAAAATAAGGCTGGTTTTCGACCTGGACGTGGCTGTATAGACCACATTTTCACACAACGACAGGTCCTGGAACACAGGCACACATTTAGGCGTCCTACAATATTTGTCTTCCTGGACCTAAAAGCGGCATTTGACTCTGTTGATCGTGAGGTTCTGTGACAGTGTCTGTCATTGAAAGGTGTACCAAAGAAGTACATTAGCTTATACAAGCTCTCTACTCGAACACCACTGGTCGAGTGAGAGCTTATGGCGAACTGTCACCGGAATTCTTTACTTCAAGTAGTGTCCATCAGGGGTGTCCACTCTCTCCATTCTTGTTTAATTTTATCATAGACATGCTCCTAGATATAGTACTATCTTCTTCTGAATTTTCAGGAGTAGTCCTACCAGGAGGATCGCTTATTGAAGTAGAATATGCCGATGACATAGTTCTACTTGGTGAAGACGCTGACAAAATGCAGTTTTCTGACCACTCTAAGAAACAGTGCAAGCCTGTTTGGGATGCGATTCTTCCCGTCGAAATTCAAAATGTTGCTTCAGGATTGGCTTCCGTCAGTACCTGAACTAGTGAGAGAGAGTAAAGCAGCTGAGGGTGTCGACCGCTTCATCTATCTGGGGAGTCTCATCAGTGCTGATGGCCTGGTGACTGACAAAATTTCAGCACGGATACAGAAGGCTCGATTAGCTTTTACCAACATGCGTCATTTATGGCGTAGGCGAGATATACGTTTGATGACTACAAGACGAGTGTACTGGGCAGTAGTTCACTCCGTCCTACTATATGGTTGTGAAACATGGCCAATCAGAGTAGAAGATATTCGTAGGTTACTTGTTTTCAATCATAGGTGCCTCCGAAACATTGCTTGAGTATCGTGGACAACCGAGTAAGCAATGCTGTTATTAGGAAACGGGTGCTAGGTAAGTATGGCAGGTCCATAGATGAAGTAATGAAACTCCATCAGTTGAGGTGGTTGGGACATGTACAGCGTATGCCTAACCACCGACTGCCTCGTTAAGCTATATTTTGCGGTGTAGGAATAGGTTGGATGAAAGCTAGGGGCGGCCAAACCAAAAAATGGCAGAAATGCATGAAGTCACTGACAAGTGGGCTGAGTCATGTCGGTGGGTGTCGACTACTTGGTTAGGGTCCGCGAGATGATAATAATCGATGATTATAGACCCTGAATGACATGGCTGAAAACCATTTGCAATGGCGCAGGTGCATTCAATATTTGTGTTCTCTCAAACCCCAAACTTTTTAATTCCTCACCAATTTATCTTTTTATTTTAAGTTTATTTCACTAGATTCTACTTCTTGAATAATATCTTCTAATTCTGGTCTCTCCGATTATTGCTAATACTTTTACTACCTCGACTACTATGAGATTTAAAGTGACAATTGCATCTCTGTGCTAATGTAACGTGGCAACTTGAACCGATGTACGTACGTAGGAAGTTCTATGTTGCTACTGATTGATTGATTGATTGAGGTGCCAAATCACTATTCACTGATGCTGTATAATTTCAGTGATATTTTTATACGTCCCATCTAACTCACTATCTCGATAGGATATTTGTGTCGATACACATGTACGTTTTAAGTAAGTAAATTAGGGCATGATATTAGTCTACGAATTCGTAGGCCGTCCGTCTGAGTAATTCTAATCCTGTTCACGTTTGGAGACCTTACGTTCAAAGGCTGCAGTGGCATGGGTGCATTCATTCTTTATCTTTCGCCAAACATTTAGCTTGGTGTTATTGGATGCCCTGATCTCATTCGTTACCTTTGAAAACAGCGTATGTCAAGTTCTCCAATCGAAGGGATGTTCATATTTCCATAATCTTGCTTTTCAGTTTATTAATTTCTTTTGGTTTGATTTCGGGCGTAACAAATTTAAACAGAAAGAAAAGGATGTTCAGTCTTACATAGCCTATATGACTGGCTGAATTAGTCACAATAATGACCTTTTACAAAACATTAACAGTAGCCTGGTTGATATTTAAAGTAAACCAAGATCATTCAGCAAACTGACAACTGAAATTTATCAGTTTTAACCAATAATGACAATAAATAATGATAGCTTAACAAACTGTATTGAAATTTTTTTACCGATTACGTACATTAAGACATAAGTTTGTTAATCGTCATTAAACCTGTTCCATACAAAAATCTATCCACAAATATTCATAAAAAGGCTTAGTCATGGAATATAATGTCGAAAGATATACTATTAGTATTGATGATTTCATTTACCTGTAATTTGTAGGCCAATTCAGACTCAGCACGAGCTGTGTTAACCTCCTGATCAAAACTAGCTTTTTTCAGCTGAAATTCACGACTTGAATTTGCAATATGCGTATCAGCTGAATAACGAACATCCAGACGAGAGCGATCACATTCTGCTTCCTAAAAAAATGACCAATGAAACAACACTAACACTTAGCAGATATGTAACACAGAAAATTCATAAAAACCTTTCGGTTGAGATTTAATAATGAGCCAATATCCAAAAAAAGTAAGCCATGGCAAAAGCGAAGATATATTTAGCGTAAAAATAATTAGTATAAGTAGGTCATTTCAACCAATATTAAATTTTCTGGCACTTTGTAAGTGACGTTATGTGAGTAGTAAAATCCTACGTTTTTGAGATTGCTTGATCATGATGATAGCAATCAGCTATTTTTAACTTGGCAAAGTGAGGAATAAATAATGGAAAAGAGATAACCTCAGATTTCTAAAACAAAAATGGTGATTAACAGTGACCAATCAGTACAAAGCACAAAGTTAAACAAAGAATTTATAAAAATTTAACGGGAAATGAAAACTTCTTAGATGCAGAAGTTATGGTGGAAACAGTAACGCATTCTACACCTACGGTTAAGCCAAGAGTTTGGTATAGGAAAAATATGCAGAACCTCTGGTAAGATAAAAGTTAACCAATTGATAAACACCATTTTCGTGCTATGAACTCTTGAATAAATATAATGTGATAAATAAGCTAGATCATCATACAAAGTATACTTTAGTTGGTATTAAACGTGCCTTAATCTCCATTGTTACGCTTTCAAATATTCAGAAATGTGATAAAGAAAGTATGGATTATGTAGATTCGTGGTAATCTAGAAGACGTGTGAGAATTAGTTGTTAAATAATATTATACATGAGGCCAAATTTTGAGAGTTTTACTGACTACTGAACAGGTAATGTAGTACTCTACTACTCAGTAGAGAAAGTAAGTAAAGAGGTATATCTGGATTTACAGCTTCCCACAGATTAAATAGAGTTTGAAATGAATACTAAGCACTTTATAGTAACTGGTAGTAACCAGTTTTAATCTTGAACTCAGTAGCTGAAGCTTCAGCATCTTAAGCCAAAATCGCTTAACAGATATTAGCCGTGAAAATAATAGAAATATAGCTGTAGTGACAGTATTAGTAGCAACAGAAGAGATTAGGGATCGAAGGTAAGATTCAAAATATAAATTATTTAAAAAAAAACCATGATGAACTAAGAAACATAGAATTTGAGTAAACAAAGGATGGGTTCAACTGAGCTATTGCAAACGAATTCCAGTCATGCCATTCATTGTCGCCAACCGCCGGATACAATTGTCTCGCCGGCCACAACCAGGTAGACTACTCCTACTAACATGGCTCCGTACAGTTGTCATTAGTTTTGTGGGTTGTCTATTTCTTGAGGGACCTGAAAAGAAAGTTGCGTTGGTGACCTGGGAGCGTGACCGTATAACCAAAGGGACAGCTGCTTGAAGCTAATCACAAACAACTTTCAATGGATAGTTTTCGAAGTGTGAGCCCCGCTCTTAAAAGGCCTAACCGCCGGATAGGAAAACCCATCGGGTAAGGCAGGGTGTGACACTATCATGGTTTATTTTTTTTACCCCGTTATGAGGAGGTAGTATTGCTGCAGATGCTGGTCGTTTGAGAAAAATGCCATACTGCTGTCGTCTCTCTCCCCAGTCAGCAGTGCGGTTTCGCCTTCAGACTTTAAGTTGAAGCTTTTAATTTTACGGTTTTCCGACCGACCCGCATAGCATGGTAGACCCTAAAGGACAATGTGTTTCAGCTTGATTGGATTATCACGATAATCAAATCCGATCACCTTGTCAAGGTTCGCTGCAAAGGTTGAGAAAATGACTATAAAGGGATTTACTGTATTTAAACCCATAAAACTGTTAATAAAATGTGGTTAGTCTGAAACGACATAAATGTTTAAGAGCTTTCTCATGGAAAAATCCAATAACACTCGATATGAACAATACCTTAATTCCTGCGTCTCGTTCAGCTTCAGCAACGCCAATGTCAGCATCTCTTTTTACATTTGCAGTTTGTGCACGTCCTAAAGAATTCAAATATTCCACACGGTCGTAAACATCTTTTATGGTAAAACTTAATATTTCGATTCCCATTCGTCCTACATCCGGCGCAGCCACCTCACGAACCAGGGCAGCAAACTGATCACGATCCTGAAACAAAGAGGACATTGGTTGATTCCAATTACTAGTATATATAGGGAATATATGAGAAAGACCTCTTTAGTGAATTCAGTTCGGGATTTCACTTTGCTTACAAAATGGAAGCACTAGCATCTAATACACGATTTTATATGATACCCTATTCGACAATAGGGAATCAGATGAATTATATATGCTAACACTAAGTTTACTTTTTATCTTCGTTTCGTCGACATCACACTGATAAATGACAATTAAGTAATTCGAGTTCCCATATTAGCTCACTCAGTTTAGATTTTTACTTATAATACGAAAGTTAAGATTACTTTGAATTTTAAGAACTGGCATGGATTATAAAAGTGATATATACTGGTTATTTAACCAAAACAGTTACCAGTATTTCACTATTAATCCACACTTAGAATATGAGTGCTTACGAACAAGCAGGGATGGATTGATGTGGAATATGTGGAAAATTACAGGCACTTTACCACATAATTTGCATATGCAATAAACCAATTTGTTCTGAAAACATATCTAATAAAAAGGACATCTCATACGAAATTCGAATTCGGTTGACACTCAACTATTCCACTTCCTATTACTAGTTCAGATGCCGATGCAAGCCAATCCTGAAGCAATGTTTTGTATTTCGACGGGGAGAATCGCAACCCAAACATGCTTGCATTGTTGCTTAGAGAAGTCAGAAGACTCTGCATTTTGTTGGCGTCTTCACCAAGTAGAACTATGTCATCGACATGTTCTCAGTGAACAGGTGAATTTCCTAGTAGGTCAACTCTTGAAAAGTCAGACAATGAAAGATTCATCTCTAAAAGTATGTGATTGACAAAGTTGACTCAGAATAGAGAGTGGACGACCAACTTTAAGTAATCAATCCTGATGACAGTTAGCCATAAGCCCCAACTCGACCAGTAATATTTGAGTAGACAGCTTGTATAAAGTTAATGTACTTCTCTAGTACTCTTTCCAGCGACAGACACTAACATAGATCCTCACGATCAACAAATTTCCTTTAACCTTTTCAACTTTATAAAGAAGCGAAGGATTTACATCAATTTCCACTCATATCGACTGAGGATCATGTGTAATCGAAGTTTGATCGAAGGAAAATTGAACCAGTCTATTCGATCGATGCTTAGAGACCCTGAATGACATGGCTCAAAATCATTTGCAATGGAGCAGATGCATCCATTCTTTGTGTTCTCTCAAATTCTAACCTGAATTCTTCATCACCTCTATATTTTCTGTTTAGTTTATTTCACTAGATTCTACTTCTTGAATAATATCGTTGAGCCCTAAAGTTTCCGATTACTGCTAACACTTCTACTACCTCTACTACTATGAGATTTAAAGTGACAATTGCATCTCTGTGCTAATGTGGTGTGGCAACTTGAACCGATGTACGTACGTGGGAAGTTTTATGTTGCTGTTGACTGACTTCCCTACTGTAACTTTCTTACGTTCAGTAAGCCACAGACAGATATGGGCTAGTACTAGGGCATGATCTGAATCTATAGATTTGTTCCAGAATGAGCGGCAGTTCCCAATGGAACCTCTCAATCGTTGACTGATAGCAATACGGTCTGGTTGGATCCAGCGTCGAGTCGATTTTGGGGGTCACCATATCAAATAATGTTCTTCCTTAGGCTTAAAGTTATTATTTCCTAGAAATAGGCGGTTATCTGCTCAAAGTTGCAATAGACGGTCGCCATTATCTGTTCGATCAACCGCGACAATGTAAGATCCACCTAGAGGTCTTTCCGTTTCACAGTGTACTTATTTGAGCACCGAAGTCAATAGCCACTATCACTACTTCAAAGTGCCTAGCAGTTTGGAGAAGGTAAGAAATTTTTCGGCGAATTTCATCCTTACCTCATCTGAGCTGAAGTCAGTGGGAGCGTAGGCAGAGACGACGAAAAGGCAACGGCGTGTCTCAATCTTTTCGATTCTTTACTGTCTCGTTTAGTCGGACGGCGCACAAGCGACCATCAACTAGGATACATTCGAAGAAGGCTAGTTCTGTCCTGGCATTTAATGCTATACCTACACCAGCGAGGCCACGTGAGGCAGCATCAGTGCTTACAGATACGCGAAGTGTAAATCCAGATGGTTCTTTATCTTGACAAGGAGAGGTCGAACAAATAACTCTACTCGGATCCTGTGAGCGTGTTTCGGAGACGCAGCTCAGGAAGCCTGTTATCTTATTCGGACAAGGTTCGAACATTAAAAGCTGCAGAAAATTGTTTGGAATGGGGTTTCAGGAGACCAGGAATAACGTTTCGCGTACGCGAATCATTCGCGTTAGTGACGCATGGTGATAGAGAGATAAGAGAAGAGTTAGTCGTGCAAATAAGAGAGTTATCAAGAGTTATAGGTAGGATTTGATTGTGACCAAGTTGATCTCGTGTGTTGTTACAGGTATGGGAGCGGATGTCACTTCCCGGCTACCCATACCGTAAGTGTTTCTTGAGTGGCCTGAAAAAAAGTTGCATAGGTGTTGGTCTTAGCGACCCCGGAACATGATTGTGGAATCCAAAGGACAACTGCTTGAGGCCGGTCACTCACGACCATTTTACAGAATGCTTTGGAAGAGTTAGCACCGCTCTCCAAATAGCCTTACCACCGGAGACGGAAACCCATAGGGAATGGTGAGGTGTGATGTTTTTAGGCCTGACCTCCAACCCCTTACTTCCTTGTGAGAAGGCAGTATCGCTGCAGAAGCTGGTTGTCCGAGAGAAACACCTCAGTGCTACCATACCCTTTAAAGTTAGCAGTACGAATTCCGCCTCAGACCTAGAATCGCTGATTTTATTTTCACCGTTTTCCAATCGACCTGCCTGACATGGTAGAACTTACATGAACAATATAGCTTGGTTGGGTCATCACGATAGGCAAGCCCGACCACCACGTCGAGGTAGCAGCTACGGCCGGGAAAAAAGCTTCACTAAATGTAAAGTACTACGCAAACAATCTTTTTATCGTAAAACCATCCAAAAAATTTGGCAAAAAAGGTTACAACTAACACGGTAGATGGCTTCTACTGACAAAGTTCCAAGTATAGCTCTTAAATGTCCTTCCATTGTTTGAAGTATGGTGTTTTGAATATCTCGTTGTTTTTTCCCTAAAAATTGCTGACACGCTACCTCAAGCAGCTTATCGTCCCGCATCACTTTGACCTGTGCTACGCCTGTCAATGGAAAATAAAGCTAATAGACTAACGAAAATCAAAAAATTACCTGTCACAGTTAAAGGAACACCCTCTGATGTTTCCACGTTTTCGCAAACCGGATTTAATGTCATTACTCCTAGTGAAATCCTATGACTCTATAAATAACTCGAAGGATTTACTTCTGAACCTGAGTGATAAGCCACCAAGCCCACCCCCATCCACCAATTATCGTACGCACATTCGCAGCTCCACAGCATCCACCTTTAAAAATAACCGTCACAAACATCAAAAAGCCATCATTTTGACTCAGAGATCATTTTATATGCCACAGAACGCAGTGATATTCCACTATTATATCCAAAAATATCATATGTAAGCAAAATTATTGTTTTATTTAAACAAATATTAGCACAGAAGTGCTTAAACAAAAACTGTCACCGCACATACTGACTTCAAAACAACATTATGCAACAGATGAGTTGGCTGTCCGCTCGTCAAATATTTTTTTCTACATTATACTGTGATTTATAAAAAGGATCATGGAAGTGACAAAGCATTGAATCCCGTCTTACACTTTGCATATCTGATGGCGCAATAAGAAATAAATGAAACAACACCGGACACCACTTTTACAACACTAGCTAGCTGCGTCATACATCAATGAAAAAGCGATTCTCATATAAACAAAAAAGAAGAAATACCTACATTTGTGCCTGAGACACGGGCACACATGAGTTGGTAAAAAATAGGAAGACATTTTGATTAAGTACATGCGACTTTTTACTACCAAACAACAATATCCTGGTTTAAAACCCCCAATATACGAAAATTAATACCAATCCCTACTCTAAAATTAGTAAGCAAGTCAAGTTTCGCACTTATGGATTATGTTACAAGCGCCTACAATCTAAACATCAAGTTAATGCAAACTAAATTATTGGTTGATATTTTTAACAGATACAAATTTACAGTCAGTAATAACTTGGACAGAAATTTTGAGTAAACTACGAATGAAGATTTGACAATCACTATTGAGTTAAAGTACATTCTTAAATGGTTAAGTGACAGTGCGATTTAAAAAGTGATTGGACTAACAATTCACATATACATAAACCAGAGCGTTATTCTACAAGAAGTGATAACCATGTAATGGATTCAGTTATGTCATGCAAACGGAGTAAATAACTTGCAACTGGCAGATATGCCTACTTTTAGAAGGTTTTACTTGCGCTTACGTTGGCCTCCTTCGAGAAAAAGAATATTGACTGTAATTTTCGAAGGTGAAGTTTACTTAACTGCCACAAAATCTAGTGCTCAAAATCAGATGATACTGTGAAAACAAAAGTTGCATCTGGTAATACCCAGAGGCTTCTCCACCTTATTCCAGTCACCAGCAACGGGAAGATTGATATCAGTCACACAATGTGAGTATGATATAAAGCGTTTAATTGAAACACGTGCTTGCAGATATAAGAAACATGGCCACGGAGAAATTAATCGTAATGCTCAGACAAACCAACATAATATGTAGCTAAAACTATAATTATGTAAGGCAGGAAAGGTAAAGTGCACCGTGAAAGCCTTAACTTGCAAGTTAAGGGACCTTATCAGAGGGATCACAGATTAGTAATGTGCAGATCTTCTTTGAAAAGTCTCCACAAATATGGCAACCAACTAGTAAACCTGTTTAAAATAAGACTTCAGATGATAACGTGCTATGTGTATTTATTGGAGAGCTTGTGTAACCATAATCCAAACAATTAGTAATGCATGAGATGAAGTAATCAATTAAAAGGAAAATGTGGTGAGGCAAGCAAAACAATATTTCAATGCACATGCTGGGCCAGGGACACAATAACCTTACATCAAATTGAAAGCAGACTAGTCAGTGACCCTAGATTGCACAGGGCAAATATGAAATTCGAATATAGTAAGAATCTCACATTAGGTTTCGACTTCCACATATACTGAAAAGGATATGAGATTTTCAGCCAGATTCAATAAATGAACATTTGAAATCTTACCCACAGTTCTCGAGACCGTAAACAAAAGCCTAATGATTTAAAAACGGACCTGCTCGAAATGATTTAGTCGAGAATCACATACTAAAATGCTGAGAAATTAAGAAACGAATTAATGTGAGAATTCTTGAAACCACTATTGCATGCAGTAATTAGAACTATTAATGTAACCTTATTCTCAGCAAAATAACTTAAGAAAATAAGGACCTTACAAAAAACTCATGATGACAACAGCAGTTACCGGAGATAACAAGGGCCTCACTAGGCCCCACTGTATGAATATTCCCCATCAGCTCAAATCAAAAAGGTGTCAATGCCGAACTAGTCGTTGGAAAGTAAACTTGGTTTACAAAAACAAGATATGAAGAAACATGAACTCTCGATTGGACTTTCAAAATTTTTTTACTTGTTTAATAAAACTTGCAAAAACTGTCACTAAAAAGGAAAGCACAGAAAGCTTGCTGTTGATATGAGCTGTTCAAATATCTTGTATTTCGGTATAGTAATAGACAAATTCACTAGAACAGCTGTGTATCCTTTTTTCAACATTAATTTGTGTTCAACTGATCGTCGAAAACCAGCCAGTATAGTCATCCTATATCATTTTATTCGTAATAGCACTTGCTTCAAATTTCCCTATAAGATTATCAGTCAATACCATGTACTTGTTTTTGATGACTAGAATTTAGTTACGAGTAAGATTTTCAGGGTCTGTATGTTCAAAGATGGTCTCATAGAACTATTCTGAGAAAACCTCGACACTTCTCATTGGATCGGGGAAAACCTCAAATTAAATCAGATGTGTGGGAATTCCACTTTCATGAAGATAGAGCTATTGGTTTAATAGAAGCATTCATTATTATTACCAATTGTACCAGTGATTTTATTAGTGAAACTTTTGCTTATGTGTACTTTGTACGCTCTAAATTTCCTTCATTGTTGCTGCCATTTTTCAGTAGATCGCTCAATGTAACTTCGCTCTTTTCTGGCATGACTTCGGTATTCCTTTAACACCACGCAATCGCCAGCGAATGCATTCCCTTGTATGGATTTGCTTTTCTCCTCTCTCTGTGACTCACGGAGATATTATATTTAGTGACGGGGTATTAGTCATCTACGACTCGTGCCACCAAAGACGTTTTGCGCAAACCACATAGATGACATTGATTACTACCCAGACCTTTCGAAACATGCATAAACCTTTTTGCTGATTATTTACAGCTGATTCCTAAAATCTAATGCATTTATAAATTGATCATACGATTGTTTATGCGTCGTTTGCATAAGTGTTCTTATGGAAAGTTAGTGGACGATTCTTAGAGGGCAGTAAAATATGGCAACAGTGGCAACATAAAACGCCAAATTTTATTGTTTTTATCAACTGACGAAAACCTTAGGTGTTGTGAAGGTGATCAGATATTGAAATAGATAATAAACACATCTACTTATTTAAGATATAACTTGCTATGAAATTCATTTTATTTGTTGTTGTTGTTCCAATAAAACTGTCATCAGAAGTGTCTTGCGAAGAAAAAAATTATTCATCTCTTTAATGGACAATATTAAAATACTTTTATGCTGGTAGTGTTCAAACTACTGCATGGTATAAAAGAAATACTTAAGACCAAAAATATTCGGAAATTTGATGCAAAAATGTTAGTTGAATAAAAAACTTACAGTTTGATTAGTGAGTCCTCATGAAACCAGCTGAAAAATATACAATTAGAAGATAAGAAGACAATTAGAAGATAAACAATTCACTGAGATTAGTAAAGGCATGCAGATATTCTACAAAACGTGTGAAATCCAAGCTTGAATTTTCTCTGAATCGCTATCGAAACCCATTCACTTTATCTCTCGCACCGAGATAGGAAGCCTGGCACTGGGACAATTGGTTACAGTAATAGATGTCTCCACCAAGCGTGTCCTCTTTACAAAAGTGTTCCACTGCACTTTCAATACCAGCAGTCGAACCGAGTTAGTTGTTGTTGGATTAAGTTTTTATCATTCACACGACTTACTAGATTTTGTACAAGATACCGGAAATCGATAAACTGAGTAATCTATTAGAATGCTAACAACTAACGACAAGTTTATTCAGTCTAAATCTTTGACTTAGTTTCTCACAACCAGCTATTATTTAAGTTAAGTGATATGGAGAATGGCAAGAACTTTATTTTGTGGATAAGAGATGAGGAAAGATCATTCAGGAGGATTTGTTTGAGTATTTAGACGGAAACCGGATACATCGTGAAAATCAAAACAGTTTTAGGATAGGCCATTCACATCCCGCAAACTTATCAGTGGTCGAGGAGAATTGATGTTTCCTTAAACATCAAAGGCTACCCTTAGATGAAGAATTCATTGACATTGGTACGGCTTTTGACTAATCCGTTGATAATCGGCTTTTATCTAATTAGTGTGACGTAAGGAGGGATGGAAACTTACCCATTTTCATGAAGGATTTCCTAGTCGCGCACTAATGGAGGGTGTGTGTTAAGTTCAAGACAGCTGAGAAACTATGCCTAGCGAGATGTCTCAAGGTAGAGTTTTGGGACGAGTGTTATCCCTACTGTAAGTATATGACCTGCCTAGTCTTCTACCACTATTCATATCGTTATATGCTGGTGATATCAAGAGATGGGGTGTGGTAGAATGTGAATTTGACCCATAGGAGCTCAAAAATGACCTTAAGAAATGATGCGGTTGGTGTAGACTCATGCAGTTGTCGATAGTTTCGTTCTAAGTTGATTATGAGGTATATTGACCACCAAGATGTAAATACATACGCACTGACTATCGTTGAATTATCACTTGTCTAACAGAAAATGACCTAGGAGTCATCTTTAGACAAGGCTTAAGAACTAGTGTATGCTGCATAACGATAGCAGCTGAATTTTTTAGAGGTTTATGGTCAGTACGCAAAAATTTCAGTTTTGTTGACGCAGAAACCTTTTTGAATTTGTATGAAGGGCTTATTCGTTCTGAACGAACTGATCTAAATGGAATAACTAGGCTATTTAATAAGTGCAAACAACCGTAGGTAAGATGATTCTCATAATCGCAACGCTGCCAGATGACGAGAGACTGTCTGAATAAAACCTTTTTTTGTCATAATGTAAGACCAGAAATGACACAGTCAAAGGTCTGCAATGGTTTTGTGATAAATATTCATATGTTATGCCCTCATTTTTTTTGTCTCCCAATACAGAAAATCCACACTTTAAAATGTTAACGGACTGTGTAGAAATTACTTGTCAATGATTAGAACAGTCATTGCAAGAATTCTTCTCTATTTATATAAAAAATGCACTCTCAGGTGCTAATACAGACTTGAGCAACAAAAGAGTTTGAAGCTTGTACCTTTCTTCTTATACATCGGCAGCATTTCTAACTGAAGGTCGTGGGAATTTCATTATCAGTGGTTTTATCATCCAGTTACAAACCAGCGTCATTAGTGATTGACAAGCATTTGATGGAGTCACCTTGGGTCGAGAAATATAGACCTATTGAGCTTAAAGACATTGTTGGGAATGAAAACACAATTCTTCGTTTATCCGTATTCGCTCGAGACGGCAACTTGCCTAACATAATAATAGCTGTAATTCAGTGTTTGTTCCTATCAACTTTGCTATAGGGTCCTCCAGGTTGTGGAAAAACTACAAGTATCCTGTGCTTGGCTCGAACTCTTTTGAAAAATGCTTATAAGGAAGCAGTCCTTGAGTTGAATGCATCCAACGAAAGGGGTATCGAAGTAGTGAGAACTAAAATCAAGATGTTTGCACAAAAAAAGGTCAGTCTTCCTGAGGGGAGACAAAAAATTATTATTCTTGATGAAGCTGACAGGTTAGTAGTTTATTCTTCGTGAGACTTTGTTGGGATTTAGGCTTTAGTCTCACAGTTAAGGTGTAAAAGCTAATTGAAACCATATTTTGTTGCTTCGAGTATTTTTAAAATATATACTGGTAACACTTCAGTCATGTAGATCCAATTATTAGGTGCTGTCTTTTCACGCTTGTTGCTCATTTTGTATGAGTGGATCACATTTCATTAGGACCTTAAAGTAATCGCCCAACTAAACTCAGGGCAGTGAGTCAGCACGGAAAAATGTAATATCTACGTGTTACATCTGAATAACCTGGTGATCGCACTTTTTAAGGGAGCACAAATCGAAACATAAAGTGGTTGCCAGGATTTAATTGGGACGTCAGTATACCATTAAATAGATCATTTACACCTGATATTTGTTGTTTTATATTTTCAATATTCGTTTCTCTGGGAAAAATAGTTACTAAAGTCACCAGTCCGAAATGATATATGCGAATCATTTTATCAAACTGCAAGTCAGAATCGCCCGACCATAGCTGTTACCTTGACGTGGTGGCCGGGCTTGCCTACCGTGATGACCCAACAGAGCTATATCGGCTGCGACATATGTTCTTGTAGGTTCTATCATGCCAGGCTGGCGGACTGGAGAACGATGAGACCAAAAGCAGTTACTCAACGTCTCAGGACAAAGTCTTACTGCTGACTGTAGAGAGGTGTGACAGCAGTAAGGTGTTTCCATCGTACAACGATCATCTGCAGCGATTCTGCCTTCTTACAAGGAAGGAAGGGTTAAAAAACATCGACCTTTAAGTGTCACATCTCACCCTACCTCATGGATTTCCGTCTAAAAAGATAAGGCCTTTTAAGAAGAGTGAAGCTAACACTTTGAAAACTCAAATGGCCGTACGTGTCTGGCCGAAGCAGCTGCCCCTTGCACTCTGCAGTCACGCTCCCGGGTTTCTCAGAACAACACTAACGCAACTTCCTTTTCAGGTTGCTCAGTAAACACCCACGGTGTGGGAAGTGGTTTCTGCTCACATCCGTAACTGCACACAAGACCGAATCGGTCAGAATCAAATCCTTCTTACACTCCCTAACACCTCTCTTTTCTCCATGACCCACCCTTCTTACATCCCTTCATCACCCTACACCGCTAATGCAAACGATTCGTTTTCACGAAACATTATTCCTGGTCACCTGAAACCGCGTTTTAAACTACATGTTGGGGCTTTTAATGTCCGGACATTGCGTCAAAAATGTCAACAGTCTAGGACTTTAGAATCTCGCGCCATAGATGTGTGCTGCGTCTCAAAAACGCGCATACAGGATCTTGATACAATCAATAGTTCGGTTTCACCCTGTCAAAATAAAGAAGCAGCTTGACTTACTCTGGATGTATCTGGAAGCCCTGATGCTGCTTCCCAGAGTCTCACTGGTATAGGTGTAGCATTGAGTCATAGAGCACACTAGCTCTCCTAGACTGGATCCCTGTAGATATTCGCTTGTGCGACGTCCGACTGAACGGGACGGTAATAACTCGTACAGATAAGGATCCTCGCGGTTGCCTCTATTTTCTCTGCCTACGCTCCCACTGACTGCAGCTTAGACGAGGTAAAAGATGAGTTTTACAGAAACCTCAGGATGGTTAAAAGCCCACTATAGTTCGCGATCATTGCGTAGGCTTTTTATCAGCCTCAGCCTAAGCTGATTTCGCTCTTCGTCATGTTCAGAGCCAGATGGGTTGAGTTCCTGAGCGCCTATCAGTTCGGTGGATGCTACTGAGATCCACGGCTTATCCCTTACCTTATGGTTTACCTTATTAGCAAATATCACTACTGTTTCCAGAGCTGTTTGAATATCATTCCTAGCTGCCTCAGGGTGGACATCACTTATTACATGGCTGCCTAACTGCTTTTCTATTCTTGAAATATATTCTTTGCTTTGCTATCATTAAGTAGAACCTTAAGACGTCTCATGCGGTGTCTTTCCTACGTCCAGTAAGCCTCAAATATACGCGCTTGCACTAGGGCATGGTCTGAATCTTAACAAGTGCTTCGGAATGAGCGGCAATCTTCAATGGAGCTTCTCTATCCATGGCTGATATCGATGTTGTCTAAATGGACCCATCCTTCAGTCGGCTTCAGTGGACGCGTGGTCATGTGTTTTTTCTTGTACTTGAAGTTAGTGTTTGCTATAAACAGGCGGTTATCTGAGCATACCAACAGCAGATGGTCACCATTTCCAAACCATTTTCAAATTGCGAAAAAACGTTTTACTATTTTATTGAGTGTTAATTTTTTGCTTCCTAGTAAACTAGTATCAGCATGATAACCTAAACTTCTTATCAAAAACAGTGCGTCTCTGTTCCGTATATACCATGAAAAGACGAAAGCTCATTTTATCTTTTTGGTTGCTTCTTTGGTGGCTCTAATGTCAGTAGAATCTTAACTGTTATGTAATACTCTTAAAATTTCTTTCGGCGTTAAACTATCATCACATCTACCTATACATTTCTTATTTTGTATAAATAAGCATGACTGAAGGTGCCCAACAGGCGCTTCGACGGATTATGGAGTTGTACTCTCGAACAACTCGTTTTGCACTAGCTTGTAATGATTCTTCGAAGCTCATCGAACCTATACAATCGAGATGTGCTGTTTTACGTTATGCTCGTTTAACATCTGCCCAAATAATGGCTAGGTTGCTAGAAGTTTCACGTTCTGAAGGTGTTTCATATACAGAGGAAGGTTTGGAAGCCATTGTATTCACAGCTGATGGTGATATGAGACAGGTGGGTTATTTTGTTCCTTTTAGTATATAAACGATTATTTCGCTTTCCCATTTACAAATTTAGATAAAGCTAAAACAAAGATCGCAATAAAAGCAGTCATTAGTGAAGTCTTGATTCGAGTTGATTTATGAATTGCATCAGTTGTGTATGAAATAAATGATTTCTCTAGCTGTCTTTTAGTTTGAGGTCAAGTATACAACTGTTCTAGAAGAAAGCTGAAAAATGCATGGAAACAGAATTTTTAGAAATTGGAACTATATTTCATTATTCATATCGTAATTAAAAAATTGACTAGCCGAGTACAGCCCAAACAACATGCAAGAAATACAAAATTATATTTAAGGTTTTGAAAATAATAAAATTTATAAGCAAAAGATTTCAAATTTATTACGCTTTCTTGAAGCTGTTTTTTTAAAGATTTGAGCCAAATGTGTTTTCGAAACGACAGTTACGAGTCGTGTTTTGGTGACCTCATTTTAACAGATTTGTTCCACACCTCATACATCCACTTTAAAAAAATTATTGGGCTTTAAGGATGTATTAAGACTCAATGTTGTAGTACCTGGAGTTTATTTCAGACCTCTACTTCGTCAAGTAGTTTGGTAACAACTAATCGACTTAAAAGATGCTGTTCGGAATCTGTACAATGCTCTCCAAAGATTTTTGTCAAGTATTATTGTTATTTCATTTAAACATATAAACGTTGGTACAAAAGCGCACTTAATATTTATGTGCCACATAAATCGGATTCGTGAGTGGGCTGGGATATTGTCCGGGTATCCAAATCAAAGTAGGTGGTTTTCTTAGGGCACAACATCCTGAGCCTTTTACTCAAAAGTTCAGATCTAACAACCTGGTTAAAGTGAGATAAAGGAATGTGAGTAGAGTTAGTCGTGGAGATAAGAGAGATGTTAGGGGGTGTGGGAAGGATTTGTTTGTGACTAATTTGGTCTCTCCTGTTGTTACGGGTATGAGGGCGGTTGTCACTTCGCTGCTGCCCACACCGTGGAAGGTTGTTTCTTGAGGGACCTGAAAAAGAAGGTAGAAGGTATTGGTCTTAGAGACTTGGGAGCGTGACCGCAGAGCCCATGGGACAACTGCTTGAGGTCGGTCACGCACAGTTTTTTATGCTTCCCAAGATGGCACATATTGACATTATTCATTGCAGGTTAGAAAGGTTGTTTTTAAAAGCCTCCAACAATTCAAACGTGGTTTTCTTCAAATAGAAATTTTACTTAACTACGCCATATCATGTTTCGGATTGTTTGGTGAATTGGCTCCTAGGTTGAAAATTTTTAATTTCCTTTGAAAACAGCGATTCACACCACTGAGTGGTCATTAACTAGAATAAAACTTGTTTATTCCCTCCTACGTTGCTTTGATTTGTCAGCTGATGTTAATTCGTGATACAAATAATATTCGATCTGCAACAATTGTTTGCAGTATGAAAATTCGTCTGTGTGTAAAAATAAATTATATTCAAGTTTTGATTGTTTGTAATCTGAAATATTTTTACGAGATTGAAGTTCAATTGTTATTAACACTCATAATTCCTGGTTATTGTTTAGTGACAACTTTTTAAATTAGGCTATTTGGTTCACCGTGGTTTAATTAATCTAGGCAATAAAATAACATCAAACTTCACACGCTTAAGTTTATTGCACAAAAAATTAATCAAGCTTATTTTGTTCTATCCTTCTGCTAATTTTTTAAAATAATAGGCTCTAAATAATCTACAATCAACTTATCAAGGCTTTGGAATGGTCAGTAGTGATAACGTTTTCAAAGTAAGTTCTGCTTGTCTATTGGTTTAATGTTTACAATCTGTATTTCTTGGGTAAAGGTGCGAAGTGACAGTGTAATCGAGTAATAGAATTCATGATAGTGTATAACGGATACATTTCACTTTCTATTCAATGAAGACGATTAAAAAATTCAGAGTATTTTGACTGTCTTAAGCAGCATTGGTAACATTTTCCAAATTCGTTTCTCTCCTAAATGCAAAATATTGCTTTAGGACTGTTCTACCTCAACGCCTGTACTAATAATAGGGAGTAGAGTAGTGGGGTGCATCAATCACTTCACTTATTTTAAAGCCCTAGTGGGATGGTATCTGCCGAAATCTCGGAATGAACTTAGAAAGTTTGTTTGGCATCTGCGAACTAGAGGATGAGTTAAATGCACAGCAGTTCGTTTAAAGGTAACAGCTTTCTGATTGACACTTTCACCGTCTGACTTTTAGAAGTTGAACTTTTAACAGGAGATTATTTTGTTGATTTAGAATATGTAGATGGTAAAGTTCTGTTTTTGACAAAATCTCGTTACGGGTACAGAAAGCCCAACTGGCTTTGGCCAACTTACATCACTTATGGTGTAGGTGACATATCCGTCTGCATACCAAAGGACGAGTGTACTGCTCAGCGGTTTGTTCCGTCCTACTTTATGGCTGTGAAACCTGGACGGTGGAGTAGAGAATGTTCGTAGGTTATTAATACTCGATCATTGGTATCTTCGAAGCATTGCTTGTACATCCTGAGAGCATCGAGTGTGTAAGGCTATTGTAAGGAAAAGGGTAATAGGTAAGGATGACAATGCAGCTGATGAAGTGGATGGGACATCTGTTACGCAAGTCAAACTGTTGACTCCCTTTACGAGCGACGTTATCTGATGTAGCAGCAGACTGGTACAAACGTGCCGAGTTTTTTGGATTGGGAAGCTCATACTAATTGGTAAATGCTTGATATTCTGTGTGTTGATGTTATAAAAGTCTATATACTTATTAAAATCACTATTTATTGATGATAATTATTGAACTTACCTTGATCTTGTTCATACGGCAGGTTTGTGATGAACCACACCCTATGCTTGTTAAACAGTTGATAGATCATTGTTCTAAGGGTGAATTATCAGCTGCTCACAAGATCTTACGCCATTTATGGACTCTAGGATATTCAGCTGAAGATATTATCACCATCACTTTCCGAGTAATGAAGAACCATCCAATGGAAGAGTATCTTAAATTAGGATTTATAAAAGTAGGTTTTTGTGGTTATTTCACTTTTTTGTAGTGGCATACAATCAAATATTTCTTTATCAGATGTTCAATTTTGTAAAACTTATGCTTTTATTTCCCTATTCATGCATTTTCTCACGTAGTACAATGGTAATACCGGTAGAACTAAAACCGAAAAAGCTTTTTATCTATTGATTTCGTAATATAACCTTTGAAAAAACAAGTTTTATCGTTTCATTTCATTCACTGTATTTTTCATAGAATGTACTTGTAATTGACTCCAACAAATATAATAATCAACAAAAATTGATGAATTTGTAAGAAAAATCAAGGCCCTAATTTTAAAAATCTTCATGATAACTCGTCAAGTAAAATGCGATTATATGTGGTAGTGATGGTCTTTTCACGCAGTACACTAATCCGGAAGAAAGAATAACAAGCAAACGCCTAACCAGAAAACTAAGCAATACAAACAGATGACAGTACTTAGTGTATGGGTGTGAATTCGCTACTATTCTTTCTGTGTTGTGGACTACAATGAGTAAAAGATGAAGTTTTGAATGGATTTACGTCAACTTTCCGTCCGCGTTGTGTCATTCGATTGTTAATAGTTGATAATAAAGCAGCAACATGTATGATTCTACTCAGGAGATCCTTGATGTCGTGAACTTCTACTGCTTATTTACACGTATAGATAAAATCTAGAATTGGGATATACGTTTTTAGAAAACTGTAAACTGTCATCCTCTGTCACTGTTATATAGATTTATTGTAATTTGATTTTTTACAGGAAGTTGGCCTCACTCATCTACGAATTTCCGAAGGATTAGGTACATATCTACAATTAGCAGGTCTTCTTGCTCGCCTTTGTAAAATAGTATTACCGAAGTGAAATATTTTTATTATTAGTATACTATCTATAAATGGTTGCCTTGTACAGGAAGTGACAGTCCTTTCGTGCTTCTATCAAACTCCTCACGTCTTAGACTTCTGTGTATTATATTAAAGTCATTTTATAGTGCATTAATAAAGTTGCCGAAAATAAAAAAGACAATTAATAACTATGTAAGTCCTATTTTTTTACTCACTTCAATGATATTGGGTTAAATCGTTTTTCTTAAACAACTTAGGATCGAATAACGTTGATTAATAATCAGTCAGTCATTCAGCTAAACGGTAGAACGGGGTACTAGGGAAGCATGACAAATCAATTGATGAAGTAGTGAATCTTCGTCAGTTGAGGTGGTTGGGACATTTGCTACGATTGCTCAGCCACCGACTTCCTCGACGACCGATATTTTGTGGTGTAGGGGTGGTAGGCTGGAAGAAAACTAGTGGCAGCTAAACCAAAACATGGCATAAATCCACGAAGTCGCTGACAAGTGGACTGAGTCATGTTGGTAGATGTAGACTACATGGTTGTGGTCAGCGACACAATCGCAACAGACGGTTAGAGACGTAGATAGTCAGTTAAAACGTACAACTTTGTTGCCATAACGCATTAGCACAAAAGCGATTGTCAGTTCAAATTTCATAGTGGTAGAGATAGTAGAAGTATTAGCGGTAATGGAGAAGATAAGTGTTGCAAGAAATCATTATGCAAGAGTTATAATTCAGTCAGATAAATTTAATAAGAGAGAGGTGATGAGGAATTCAGATTAGAATTTGAGAATGGATGCACATGAGTCACTGCAAACGATTTTGAGCCGTTTTTAACGGTCTTTAATCAGAACTAGCTCTCCTAGACTGGATCTCAGTAGATAGTCGATTGTGCGCTGTCTGCCTGAACGGGACTGTAAGGATTCGGAAAGACAGAGACACTCGCCGTTCCCTCTTCGTCGTATCTGCTTACGCTCCCACCGACTGTAGTTCAGACGAGGTGAAAGATGAGTTTTAGAGAAAGCTCTTGGACCTCTTCCACAAAGTTAGACGCTCTGGTATAGAAATAATAGCTGGTGACTTTAATGCTCAAGTAGTTAGACTCAGTGAAAAGGGAAGATACCTGGGTGGATCTTATGGTGTCGCCGCTCAGAGAACAGATAATGGCGACTGTCTGTTGTAACTATGCTCAGATAACCGTCTGTTTCTAGCAAAAACTAACTTCAAGCATAACGAAAAATATCTCTTGACCTATCGTCCACCAAAGCCGACTGAATGATGGACCCATCTAGACTACATCGATATCAGCCATAGAAAAGGCAGCGGCGGTAGGCAACAGTAGACAACTTTTTCGCCTTATCAAGGATACCGGTACTAGAAATACATCTGTTAGCGAAACTATCTCAGAAAAGGATGACTATATCATTCATTCTCAACCCAGGAAATCGGATAGATGGGCAGAACACTTTAGGGATTAGTTCAACTGGCCTTCAGCCACACTTCGGTTGCCCACGACCCCCAGTCAACCTGAATGGCAAATCAGTATAAGTCCTCCGAGTCTTTATGAAGTCGAAAAAGCTATAGGAAATCTAAAGTGAGGTAGAGCAGCAGGTCCTGATAGGCGTACCTCTGAGATATTTAAGGATGGTGGTCCAGTTTTAACAGTTAGATTGACTGAGATCTCAGGTAGAATCTGGGAAATGGACGATATCCCGTCTCACTGGTCTCAATCGCTGATTGTTCCAGTCTATAAGAAAGGACAAAAGTCCTCGTGTAACAATCACACAGGAATAAGTTTGACTAATATTGTGTCCAAAATATTAGCCTCGATAATACTTCGACGCTTAACCAGAGATCGTGAGGTGCAGAAAAGAGAAGTCAGGCTGGTTTTAGACCTGAACGTGGAAGTTTAGACCATATAATCACACTACGTTAGGTTCTAGAACAAAGACACACGTCCGAAAATAGTAGTATTTCTCAACCTTAAAGCGGCATTCGACACTGTTGATCGTGAGGTTCTGTGGCAGTGTCTGTCATTAAAAGATGTACCAAAGAAGTACACGAACCTCATACCGGCTCTCTACGCGGCGAACACCACTAGTTGAGAAAGAGCTTATGGTGAACTGTCATCCGAATTCTTTACTTCAAGTAGTGTCCGGCAGGGCTGTCCACTCTCTCCATTCCTATTTAACTTTGTCGTAGGCATGCTTTTAGAGTTAACTTTATCTTCGTCCGACTTTTCAGGAGTAGACATTTTACCAGGAGACGCGCTGGCTGACTTAGAGTATGCTGACTACATAGTCCTATTAGGTGAAGACGCTGACAAAATGCAGGGTCTTCTGACTACACTATGCAACATTGCAAGCATGTTCGCGATGCGATTCTCCCCGTCGAAATGCGAAATTTTGATTTAGGATTTCGGTCGCATCGGCACCTAAATTAGTGATATACGGTGAAAAGGTTGAGTGTGTTGACTGGCTCACTTACTTTGGTAGTTTTACCTGCGCTGATAGCTTGGTGTGTGACTCGATTGGAATTGCCAACCTTCATCATTTATGGCACAGGCGAGATACCCGTTTCCTAACCAATGAACGAGTGTACTGTGCAGTAATTCACTCCGACCTACTTTACGGATGCGAAACATGGTCGGCAAGATTTGAAGACATTGGTAGGTTATTAGTATTCGATTATAGATGTCTTCTAAGCATTTGTCGTATATCCTTGGACATCCAAGGAAGCAATCCTGTCGGTAGGGAAGAAGTACTAGGCAGAAGTTACAAATCGGTGGATGAAGTAGTTAGGCGCCGTCAGTTGAGGTCGTTGGGACATGTGTTACTTATGCCTACTCACCAAATGCCGTGTTGACCTATCTGTAGGATTTAATTTGTCCCACAGATGTTATTCTACAACCATAAACGCAATATTGGCGAGCACAGAGTCTGTGGGCGAAAGCTATAGTCAGAACAAGGTCAACTTTTGCTATACACTTTATTTGTTTCTAAACATAAAAACAATTAAATCAGTACAATTAATAAGGAAATTACAGTTATCAAGTGAAAAGAGTAAACATACCGACCAATAGAGTGTCTTTGGAAATGAATAAAACTATAAGTCACATCAATATAATAAGATAATAATGTCCTTTAATTAGTAGGTCATTTACAACAATAAAAGTTTACAGACACGTCAGACCAGATCACGTGGTTGGCGCTAAAACCACAATCACATTGGTTAGTTATGCCAAAACGACAAATAGTTATGAAAATAACTAACAGTTCCCCCGATGCGCTCACCACGTCCAGGCGCCGTCGCAATCCAATAATCGACTCCTTCCAGTAGGCATAGGTTTCGTACATCTCGGTTGATCTCTACGGTGTCTGTCTTCAATAGAATAGTTCTGACTCGGTCATCTATAGCACAATTGACCTGTCTAACTGTAGCTGTTGCCCACAGACTCTGTGCTCGCCAATATTGCGTTTACCGTTGTAGAATTACATCTGTGGGAAAAATTAAATCTTACAAAGTTTCGACCAATATCTCATTAGAAGTTCATACACTGAGTACCTTTAAATGTCTACGGAGAATCATAAAACTGATCAGATCCGTGAATTGTCTCCCCACTATTCAGAAACTCATAATGAAGATCATTTCGGAATAAATAGCTACTGAATGGATCCCTTGTTAGAGTTAGAATTAGCTAAAGTACGTCTGGCTCAGACAGAAAGAGAAATTGAGTTAGAATGGTTACGTCAAAGAGGAAGAGAATGTTGTGATCAAGTTGTGGATGACAAGGTTATGTCGTACGAGTCTTCATCTGCCTCACGTACAGCTGATATTAATGCTGGAAAGGATTGTATAAGAATAATATCCAAAGCTTTAGACCTACCCAAGATAGAAATCATAAGGTTTGATGGTAATCCCATGAATTATTGGAGTTTCATACGGAATTTCGAAGACTGTTCTGATGAAAGCGTTGGATTTCGATCTAAATTAAACTATTTGATTCAGTATTGTGATGATGAAGCTAAGGCTACTTACTATTGTTCATTGTGCATTGCTTGAACCAGAAGAAGGCTATCGTAAAGCGTTAGAGCTTCTTGAGGAAACATTCGGTCAGAAACACATGGTAGTTCATGCATTTATCGATAAGATGCTGAACATTCCTGCTATTAAGGGGACTGACCCAGATAATTTAAGAAGGCTGGCTCGTGAGATGCATATTTGTGAGCTAACGCTCACACAAATGAACTATCTGTCTGACTCTAATTCTACAAAAACCATCGAATGCATGTTTTTAATACTCCCACTTTATCTACAGAGGGAATGCGTTAAAGTAGCGTGTCGAATTCTCAAGACGGGTAGGGACCCTTTATTCAACGACCTCTGTGAATTTGTTAAAGAACAGTCAGATATAGCTTATACTAGATACCATCTGCTGTTACCTGCAACGGTAATGTCGACATAAGAGATTTCGGTGTTTTGAAAGGGTGAGGTGTCGCAAGTTACAACAAAGCAACGGTAGCACTTGCAAGCACTTACAATGGCAATACCTCCTCATATATTTCACCTTGTCCAGATTGCTCCAGCAATCATCCCTTAGATCAATGCCAGACAAAAATGTTGAAGAAAGAAAAGAATTCGTCTTTAAGCATAAGTTATGTAATGTTCGTCTGAAAGCGAACCATATAGAAAAAGAATTGTCGATCGCCGAGGTCGTGTATTGTTGAAGGATGTGGCTGGAGACACCATACTCTGTTACATGAGAAGCGGGAAGAACGAAGGGATACTATTAGTGATGCCTACATTAATTCTCAGATTTGTACAGAGGAAGAGGTTAAGTGCATACAGAGGCCGGTGGCATTTGCAGTAGTTCCCGTATGGATAAAAAACGGTGAGAGAATTATTCAGACGAGTTCCTTTTAGATAGTGGATCAGACACCTCCCTCATAGTTGAAGATCTAGCTGATAAGTTAGGCCTCGAAGGAAAACCGAGAACGGTATCTATAAAAACTGTTAGTAACGAATCGTCGTTAGTATCCAAAGGGGTAGATCTACAGTTGCACTCAATTGACTTTTCATCAGAGAAGAATGCGATCTGGTGCGGCGTTGGCACAGTCCAGTGAACTGTCGGTAGCTTTTTGACTGTCATCACTTTCTGGATCTTAACGGCTGATGAAAATTCT